AATTATTTTTTGCCTAAGTCGAGTCAGCATTTTGGGGTCGGGAGAGATGCAGTGGACAATGGGAAACAGATTTTTGTTTTTAAAACAATAGACTAAAAAAAAAAAGTTTACAGCCTCCAGAATTAGCGTACAGATTACAGGTTCTGCTGGAAAACTTTCCAACAGGAAGTAAAGATACGCCTCACTCAGGTATACAAGATGAATGTTCCTTCTTAAAATTAATTCGGTACGCTGAAAAGTTAGTTGACAGAGAAGACATCTTACAGGGGCAGCTAATTTGGTCACAAAGATATATCATGTTCTTCCGAGGACCCTGACACAGTTCGGCCTGACATTGATCCAGCACCAAGGAGGCGAGCTGTGGGTGATTTACAGGGTGAGTGGATCTGAAAGGCGTGCCTAATGGCTTCAGCCCGACCGAGCGCCCGTCGAAAAGCGGCCTTTTTCTAAACAGACTGTGTTTGAATTAGCAACCGCTTCTGCACGCTGTTATTTATGACGGAGCAGGTGCACCAGGATGAGGAGGTTTCAGGTGACGAATCAAATTGGAAAAGAGGCTGAGGGGAAAAGAAAAGATGGGGGTGGGAACTGAATCAAAAGCTATCCCTTCCCCTCTGCTACAGGTGCTTCGTAAATCTCTTCCAGAACGTCAGGTCAGCACTTTCTTTACACGAAGAGAATGAGATAGAAAATGTAGGCGCCAAAGCAAAAAAGAAAGGTTTTTTAAAATCCCCATTTCATCATAGAGTGCTTCGGCAAAATATTTCATAAATTCAATGCCTTTAATGCTGACCATAATATTTTAGCTTCTGTTCACATATCGGGCGTGTGTCCCAATTTAAAAACAAAATGAAGTAGAGGTAGGGCTTCCTGTAACAGCTGAACTTTGGAAGCATATTTGTTTAGTGGGGAGAGGTTTTATTTAATATCCCAGTATGACTGTTTCCCCAATTCTCTCTACATTCTGCAGAAACTTTGCACTTTGGTAAGATGCATCTTCAACAACTTGGTTATTTCTTTTTTGATGTGAAGTGGCATAGACAGGAATGAGAGAGAGTTCACGTATTTCAGCTGTACTCCAGCTGGTACGTACATCAAGGGCTGTGAGCCTCCGTTTGGTACTTAGAACACAAACGGCAGACTGTTTGAATGACTGACAGCACCCTCACCGGTGTATCTAACTATGGGTTTGATGGGGCCCAGGTGAACGCAAAAGTCAGGTTTCTGACACTGTATAAAACGTGGCTTATTTTGAGCTTGAAAATGTCTAGAAGATTATCTTTGCGTTTCTTTCCTTGCTCAGGGGAAGTCCTAAAGCAGAGATTCCTAACAGCATCTCTGGAAACTGTAGAAACGCCATACCTTTGCTGACCTTGAAAAAAGAGGCATTGTGTTGAGAGAGCAACACCCACACAGAGCAGACGACTCAATCGACCCACCTCTTTGGCACAAGAACGGGTAGTAAGTAACTCCAAGATAAGTACATTCTTTGGAAGTGAGTCCCAAATGCTTAGTAGATTTCAGAGTTAAGGGAGAAAAAAAAAACCCCCAGTATTCTTGAGGAAGGAAGATCCTATTTCTCTCCTCCACGATGAAATGGAGTTACAGTCATCCATACAAAACCGAATTCACATTTTGCTTGATGTGTCCTTTAAAAATTCTTCACTAATTCCTAATTGGAGGAGGAAGGGCATTGTGACTCAAATGGTTACTATCTTTGGTTTCTCTGGAAGAAAAACAAAGCTAAGATCTGTCATCTTTTGTCTTGGGGATCTGTTGTTAGGAGTTTATTAAAACACAAATGACACTTCAGTACGTGACCTGGAGAGTCAATTAAACCTTCTCTACAAGAGAAATCTTTCTTGGCTGGGAACTGAACACGGAACATGTTGACATTCTTTTATCATCGACAACTTCCGTGCAGTTTCTGAGCGTTAACAGTAGATGGCTCCTCGCTCCTGGTCTTTGAAAGAGTTGGTGCCTTCCAGCAGTAACAGCTGGTGCTGGTTTAGGAAAGCCAAAGAAGGGCAACTAGAGTTTCAGGGGAAAAAAGACTGAGAAATTGGGGTTTGTGATCTTGGCGTATTATTGATCTTAGAAAGCGGCCCTGCTCATGCTGAACAGGTGAAGACACAGAATAGCTTATAAAAAGCCAGTTGGCCGTATTTCCTTATGTTTTAGGTGTCCCTCTATGATGAGAATTAAATATTTCCTTTTCCCAGAGGAATAAAAATGATCTTCTGAATAGTCAAAATCATCATTATCTAATTAAGTGCTGTCAAAGAGAACGTTCTGGGATACTGGAAATGTTTCTCTTTTGCACTATTCGATAGAGTAGCTCCCAGCCACAAGTGACTACTGAGCACTCGAAATGTGGCTAGTGTAACTGAGAAACTAAATTTTTAATTTTGTTTAATTTAAATGAACTTAAATGTAAATATCCCCATGTGGCTAGTGGTTATCGTACTGAACAACACAGCTATTTATTAGCAGCTGAATCATCATTAACACATGCCAGACCTCAAGCCAGACTACAGAATACCATGAGGGGAGCATTCTTTATTAAAAGGCTTTATTTTTCTACACCCAATTCATCTCAGCATGAATGAAATGATACTTAATGAGGACGTTTATTTAAAAAGTAGAGTTTTCTATTTATAGTATACAATATGATTACTGGATAATTTTAGATTTTGGTGGCAATTTTTTTAAAAACTGTGCTTATCCTCCATTCTTCTGCCTCTATTCTCTTTTAGATCAATACAAAGATGTTGGTAGTCTATAAAGTGTTTTCTTTTCCTACTAGGCTAATTTTTACTTTCTCTGTGCTCAACTAATTTTCATACCAAGGTTTCCTAATAAAACCTGAATCAACTGAATGATTTCTAGATATACCTTGAAATAATAAACATATAAACCTAAGAAAAAATGAGTGGTCCAAAGAGAAATTAAAAATTTAGTAGATAGTAACACTGAATTCAGGCCAAAAAATGCTGGACTCCAACATTCTTGATAATGAGCAATTTTTAATATACTGAGAGAAAAACAAAACCAAAAAGCAATTCAAGAAAATATTAAATCTCTACATAAATTCATCCATTAAAAGAAATTTCACTATTCTCTGTTTCCATGTACGCAGAAAGTAGCTGAACATCTAACTGCAGTTCATTTCACCTTTCATTTGCCCACCCCTAATACAGGGTGCCAAGGCATGAAGCAAGAATACAGCAAACAGAGCAGTCATTACAGAGCTAAAAGGGCTCCACATGTCACCTAGGTCAACCGCTCACGTGCATTTTACAGGTAGTGCAGGTCTAGGGAGAGAACACGACTGGTTAGGGCTGGAGATCAGCCAGAACCCAGGTCTCCTCATGTCTAGGGCAGGAATCTGCCCACAGCTCCTAGGCTACATCTGTTATTTCAGGCTAAGCGAGGGTTGCATAGATCTGATTTTTGTAGATTTACCTGGAGAACCAAAGAAAGGACGACTACAGTTCCAGAAAAGTGAGAGGGCTGGATGAGCAATACCTGAATTTAACCACTGACAACAAAAACTCCACGAATCCTAACCAGCATTTTCAACAGTACAGTCTGCCACTTTAAGACATCACAACATGTTTTAACAGCTTTTCCATTCATCATTTGTGGCATCAGAATTAAGATTCTCTGTCCCCCACGGCACTCACTCTAGCCTGGGCAACACAGTGAGACTCTGGTGATTCCCTCCTCCAAAAGACAGTAGGATCCCCAAGTACCAGGTGTGGCGGTATCCAATAAAATGTCTAGTGGAGCACAAAAAATGGAGCAAGACTAAAAATGCACCATGGGAGAGATAAATCCTAAGAATTTAACACTCCATTAGACAACTGCAAAGTACAAGGCCAGTACGCTCAGTAGCCAGAGATGTTGCCACCTCCATGAAAACAAAGGATAGACCGACAGGCACAGGAAGAATGCCAACAAGAAACTTGCTCATCAGAGGCTGATCTTCTCATTTTCGCCAGAAAATCTGCTTGAAAGGCATAATATAACACTCTTTATAAATCCTGATTTCTGTCAAAATTGCCCTAAATCTTCATTGGCTCAACCACTCCCCCCCCCTTAGAAAAATAAAATTGCCATTCATGACAGGGTTAAAAAGCTGCCATTCTTTTTTTTCTGTTACGAAAACCTCAACAGTGAAGAATTTTTAATTTTTATTCCTTTTTTAAGAAATCAATTCTATATTTGCACCAAACCTCATGTGACCAGTTATTTCCTCCCAGATCTCCCATCAGGTATACACTCTGCTTAATTGCAAACGTCCTCATTTCTTACGTTTTAAACTCAGGCGCAGCCATCACGTGCCAAAGCGCTGGCTGCTGTTTGCAGGAGGAAAGAATAATCATCCACCCCATCTGAGTCTGACTGTACCAGACATCATGCCAGACGACGACGGCCTGATCTCTGGACTCTTCCCCTTTATGCACCCGGTTCAGAGACCCTCCCACGGCCACGGGCGCTCATCTGGGCTAAATATAGGTCCGCGCACACCAGCAGTTCCTGACCGTCATCACGTGGCGCTGCTGACGAAGGACTCCTTGGAGACGCTTGCGGCCCAAACACACACACACACACACACAAATTTCTGTGCATGTGCATTTATGCGCACTTTACCCACCGAACTCACCAGCGAAGATGGACACATCTAATTAATACATTCAGAGGAGAAAACCGGCTGCCTAGACCATCCTGCGCTATTCGCCACACCGGTGCACGCGCTGCACTGTCAGGGGGACTTAGTTACGTTGCTTTTGCTGCACCTGCGCCGATTTGGTTGCACTAAGGTGGGAGGCGATATTTAAATGGCACGCACACGCACACACACCCAGCCCCCGTGTTTGTCCCCACAGCACCGGAGCGGTCCCCAAGGCTCCCCCAGGAAGAGGAGCCTCCCTCATGCTGACCGTCCGCGAGGCTCACGTCAGCATCACCTGGGCCGGTGACCTGAGGCGACTCACCTGAGCTCAGGCACAAAGCAAGGCGACTCTGCGTCCCCCAAGTTGGCCAGGTGAGCCGAGGGGTGACAGAGCAGCACCTGGGCAGCGGTGAGTGCACGGCTCTGTTCCCGCGTCCCTTCCTGAGAGTCGGACCTCAGGCTGCACGGCACCGGCGACAAAAACAGGCCCCCTACAGGCGCACACGCGCGCACACCCGCGCAAAGCAGTGCAGCAGGGGAAGGGAGCAACCCGCGCACGCACAGACAGCGAGGAGAGGATGGAAAAAGGACGAACTCCATCCGGACTCAGACGAGCCCTCGGGAACCACCGAGATCTCCCAACAGAAGGCCTGGGACGGGGGACGGCAGCGAGGCCACCCCGCCTGCCCCTGCAGCCCGGTCCCCGCTCCTGTTGGGGCCCGGGCGGCCCCAGGTGCCCGCACCTGCTGGGGCAGCGGACGTCCCCGGCCTCACCCGGCTCTCCGCGGGCGCCCACTGCCGCCCCGCGCGGTCCCGCCCGGGTCCCTCCCGGCACCGCTGCCCGGCCCGGGACACCTACCGCGGACGGGCCCCGGTCCTCGCCTCCCGGCGTCTGCCGCGCGCCCGCAACCGCGCCCGAGCCCCGGGAGCCCAAGCGCGCGGGAAGAAGGAGAAACAAAAACCCGCCCGCCCGGCCCGGCTCCTTGTTTATACTGAAACTCCGGCCGCGGCGCCGCGCACACCCCCGGCCCCGAGCGCCGCCCCCGCCGCCGGCCCCGCCCACCCGCCGGCGCCGGCCAACCGCGGCGCAGCTCGCCGCCCCGCCCCGCCTCCAACGCTCCGCCCACCCGCCGGCGCGGACCAACCGCGGCGCAGCTCACCGCCCCCCAACGCCCCGTCCCCAACGGCCCCGCCCACGCAGGTCCCTGGGGGCCGGGGACTCCCGCAGCGCGCCCGCCCGCCCCAGTTCCCCACCCGCGCTGCGGAGGCCGGTGCAGGGCTGGGCCCGCTGCGGCTGCGTGCACCTGCCGGGCTGCTGTGCGGTCATGTGAGTGTGTGTGTGTGTGTGTGCATTCACCTGTGTGCTACCTGTGCAGACCGGCCTGACTCGTTATGCAGCATCTACCAACATGATGATGAGCTGGAGGCTGCTGCCCTTGGAACTTCCAGAAGGAGCGGAGAGGAGCCGCAGAACATCTGCTCAGCGAACGCTACCAGAGCCCGAGCGCCGGGCCTGGTGCGACACGCAGGGACACTCTCCTGGCACAGTAGGCTGGTCCCTGCCGGTGTGAAGCCCACAGGCTCGTGGAGGTCAAACGTTAAGCAAATCGTCACTCCAGCAAAATGTAAACTGATGGCTTTCAGAAGCTGCGCAAAGGCGAGGAACCTGTTCTAGGAAATGCGATTCTGGAGGCAAGGCAGGGAGGTGGTGAGCCCCCAGCCAGGGCTGTGTTGTCGTGGTAACCACATACTCATCCTCTCATGGGATACTGGATACCTATTTTAGAAAAAAGGTAAAAACCTCAATAGTTCACCTTGCACACATAGAAACAGGCTGGAGGGAAGAAATGATGGAAGCAAATAAGGGAAAGAAGACACTCGTAGAAAGAAAAAATGTATAGTCAGGAGGCTCTCCTGCCAGCTATGTGGCCTTGAGCACGTGAAGTAGCTTTTCTGAGCTTTGGTTTTCTCCTGTATAAAACGATACTATTCATACCTGTGCTGTAGGACTGTAATTAGGATTATCGAGAGGGAGGAATCTCTTTTGTTCCTGGCCCTCGCCCCTCCCCTCCCGGGATGGAATCACCTTGAAGCTCACTTTGCCTGTTCTTAGCTGATTCCTCCTCTCATTTCCTTCCTTTTCTTCCTCTTTACCATACTCCCTTCCTTCCCCTTCTAGAAACGGGACTTCCCCGACTCTGTAATTCACTCTAAGCGATTTGAGCCTTTGGCTCAAGCGTAGCTTCTCTGCAGTTTCAATAGAAGCCACAAGCCAAGGGAACTCGGTGGGGCCAGCCTAGCTGTTGTGGTTGTGCTGGTTGGGGGGTTTTTCAAACTCAGCTTTCCATCCCGGTTCTATAACAAACAAGCCACATGATGTTGGGCAAGTTGCTTATGCTCTTGAGGTTCTGCTCTTGTAGCAAGAAGTTAAAATGGTGAGACTAAACCAAGATTTCCTAATGGAAATATCTGACGTATCCTTCGTAACCTGGATGTACACAGCAACCCAGAAGATTTTGCTGAGGTTGACTTTCTAAAGTCTTCCCCCCACCCAAAAAAAGGACTTTTATTTTAGATTCTCAAGATGTATGACGGATACCATGATAATACTGACCCAACGCTTTTCCAAACCACATGTCCACTCCCCATTCTGGCAGGGCCCTTTCTAGCTCCCTGTATGAGAAGTATTGTTACATAGAGGGACAGCTCTGCAGCCAGGCATCCCGAACCCCAATCCTGTCTCTGTCATGTAGCCACCTAGAAAACCTTAGAAAAGGCACTCAAGAACTCTGGGCAGTTAACTCATCTGAAAACTAGCATCATGGTTAATCAAAGTAACTTCTTCACAGGGTGTTGAAAAGACTAAAAGAGATGATACATGACATAGGTTGGAAATAATGTCCCTCGGAGAAGGCTTCTCCCACCTCCATATTTAAAACCGTAGTCACCGCCACTCCCTATAGCCCTCCACTGCTTTATTATCGTTTCCTCCGGAGGACTTATTGCCACTTGACATACTGTATGTTTCACTTATTACTGCTTCTCTCCCCTCACTGGAGTGTAAGTTACATAAGAGCAGAGTTGGCTGCTGTTGTCATTGTAGTTGTTTTCCTGCTGCATTTCCAATGTGTACCGTAGTGTCTGACACACGATAAGCTCTAAATAAATCTGTGTTGGTTGAATAAATGAATGAATGAATGCCTAGCCCATGGTAAGCGCTCAATAAATAATTGCTGTTATTGTCACGTCTGAATTATTCTCTATCATGAAAAAATATTCTTCCCATTCTCTACTTTTCATAGTTTTTTTTTTTTTTTTGGAGACAGAGTCTCACTGTGTTGCCCAGGCTGGAGTGCCATGGCGTCATCTTAGCTCACAGCAACCTCCAACTCCTGGGCTCAAGCGATCCTTCTGCCTCAGCCTCCCGAGTAGCTGGGACTACAGGTATGTGCCACCGTGTCCGGCTAATTTTTTCTATATATTTTTAGTTGTCCAATTAATTTCTTTCTATTTTTAGTAGAGATGGGGTCTCGCTCTTGCTCAGGCTGGTCTCGAACTCCTGAGCTCAAATGATCCTCCCCCCTCGGCCTCCCAGAGTGCTAGGATTACAGGCGTGAGCCACCGCGCCCAGCCCATAGTTTCTTTATCGTCTTCTGACTCCACTGGCTCAGCATCTCTCTCTCTAAATGTTGGTGAGCTCAATAACGCCAGTCAAATCGGTGCAAATGCAGTCTTGCCAAGTAGCACCTCACCCCAGTAGTAAGCAGTGGCCCCTGTATTGCGTTTCTGCTGTATGGCAGTGTCTGTGCTAAGCATTATTTTTCTTTTCCAGCCCTCTTATAGCTCAGGTGCACGAAATTAGAGCAATCATCATGACTGATCCACGTAACACCCTCTTTCTTTTGTTTTAGTGACTTTCATTTCCCACCTAAAATTCCAGTTTTCACCACACAGTATTTGGTGTGAGTTTTTCAACCCACCTTTGATGAACAACGATGGCATTGTTTGATGTGAGTACTGCGTGAGTGTATTTACCCAACTGTTATTGTGCAACCCGTCTCATTCTGTTTCTCATTGTTTTCCCTCCAACTTACGCTTTTGACTGTCTATCCGTGCTGATATATGTTGATGTCGTTCACTCTTTTTACCCACGGTTGAATGTTTCACTATATCTGTGTTACAGTTTTTACTTGCATTATCTTTAATCCTAAACAAAACCCTGAGCGTTAGGCATTATTATTTCCATTTCTAAGGTGAAAGAATGAGGTTTTGGAAGGTAAGTAACTCGCCAAGACCACTCAGCTGGAGAAGCCATGAATTAAACCCATATATCTCTGATTCCAATTCTCCTGTCTTCCCAGGTCATAAAATTGATTCAGTTGCTCACTGTAAGATTTATGAAATAACGTTTAAAACTAGTAAATATGTGTATTTAAATTAAACTACAGGCCAGTTGTTTCCTTGCAAAGCAATGTTATTTGTCTCAAAGACACAAGTTTTTTTTTTAAAGACACAAGTGTAATACTATTATTTGTGGTTTATAATTTCCTTAAAATACTTGATACTTACAGAAAAACCTCACAAAGCATAACTATCTTCAAATATTTAAAACTTATCATATTAAAGAGGAATGAGGCGCCAGACGCCAGACAGGTCTAAAAGGGGAAAGGTGTAAGAGAATGGATTACAGCTTCGATGTAAGAAAAACATCGAAGATGTCCAAAATGGAATGGGAGCCTTTTTCAGCATGGAAGTCCCTCTTTCTGAATCTTAAAGGGCTTTGTGAAATGGCCAAATAACTCCCCAAAACACTTCCATATTTTCTCTTCCATTTATCTTCTAAACGTCACTCTGGAATATGGACACGGATAGTTTGAGGATTTGCAATCTTAACCCCCATTTATAAATGGAAGAAAACAAAGGCAGGGATCACATTACCTATCAACAGTTGATCTGGACTACGGCGTAGGCCTTCTTACCTACAAGGCCAAGGAACACAAACCCACTTTCGATAAATATGACGTACACTGCCTCTCTTGTAGCTTGACAAAACATTGAGGTCTTAGGCCAAGTAGACCTGCCCAGCTGCAGAACTTAGAGAAAATCCCTTATTTCCCCCTTGCTACCGACTATGCTTTTTCTTGACTTCCCTTTCCTCATCATCTGAGGGCCTAGAGCGAAAGTGGGAAGGAGGCCTCTTGACATGCTTTGGTTTCACACCCTCTTCCTGCTTCTAGCCTGAGTAAAAAGAAGTCTGCTCGTGGGCCAATCTAGCTTACTAGGAGACCGTATTGGAACTTCATGGAAATAAAAAGTACGTGCGTGTTTGGCATCGACCTCTGTACATGCATATCCCTGAAACTTGATGAGAAGAACGACCAAGGCAGGACGTACAGGTTTGGATATTCAAGACCCGGAGTTCCTGCTCAATGCCATCCATCCCTTCATAACTATAAAACGAACCCTGCCACTTAGAAGGAATCTCTGTGGTACAACAAATGACAGGGTCATCGTTGGAATGGTCATCTCAATAATAATTCCACCATTCGTTATAGTTTACGATGTTCTTTCACATCCATTATCTCGTTTAGGGAGAACATTGGGTCTGTGAGGGTCATTCAGTTCTGACAGTGGTCATGAAAGAAGTCGTATGTTTTCCTCTTCTGGGATCGCTAAAAATATTATAGATA